AAATAACATTTTCTGCAGTTGCTCGGTACTAAAGTTCCAAAGAAAACATGGATGATGATGGTTGCAAACGCTTTTGAGTGTCAGAGTTATCCTATATTCGAGCCATCCTCAGAGGTTACACACTCTCTCTTTGAGCTTTTATTTCTGTATACTGAAATAGAGAGCTTTAAACCAAGTCGATGTTATATGAAAACAGATATATTTGTCATTAAATAATGTCGCGGGAGATGAAGCTTTCAACGAAGGCCTTGACATTCTTGAGCAAAATAATTTGGAGTATGCTGGTGAGAGTCCACGAATGTACTTAACTGAGGATGACTTTGGATATAGGCTTTTTGAGCTTGCTGGTACAGTGATTAACATTTTTAAAATTCAGGGTCGTTGTCTAAATACTTGTTAACACTGATATGATTTCAATTACAGGTTTGCCGCCGTTGCTTACCAGTGAATCTCCAGCTTCATATGACGCAACTGCAGCCACAGGTATGCAAGCATTCACACCCAACACGATCAACGATATTTGACAAAGTAAGTTTCCAAACTCAAATGATTCATACGAATCACATCTTTTACCGTTCTATGCAACAATAACTTAATCAGACTATTTCCTTTAGATTTGATATAAACTTCACCTTATTCGACATATACCTCTGGTATATGTAAAACATTTCCTATTGACGGTTTGTTTTAGTTCGTTGTTGTCTGTTACTTATTTTTTCTCTGATTCAGACATTTGCATTCTAGAATTCTGTCGACTATCATTCAGACAATCATTTTCGTTCATTTATTTGTGGATATCTTTTTTAATTTTTTATTATTTGTTATTATTGCTTTTTAGATTTACGATCTAAAAAATACTATTAAACTTTCAAAAAAAAATTCAAAAATACCCATTAAGTTTTGGATGGAAACCGTTAATACTTTGTTTAACAGATACCATTAAACTTTAAAATACTGTTCCAAAAATACCCTTTTATTTTTTAAAGGGTTTTTGAAAACGGTCATTACCTTTTATTTTTTTAAAAAAAAAATCAAAAACATATTTAAAAATAAAAAACATTTTAAACTTTACTTTTTAAAAAACTTCAAAAATACCTTTAATTTTTAAAAACAAAAAATAAAAAATACATTTACCATTAATATCACGTTTCAAAAATACTCATCAACTTTACAAAACATTTGCAAAAAGTTTAAAAGGTGTTGATAGACAGTTTCTGTCTAGATATTGACGGTATGAATTTTTTTATAAAGATAAAATGTGTTAATATTACTTTTTAAAATTTTATGAGTATTTCTTAAATATAATACCGAGGGTAAAGATAATTTTGTATTTTTTTTTTTTTTTGAAAAAATTGAGAGGCATTAATAAAAAAAATTTAAAATTAAAGGTATAACACAGTTAAAAGTTGAAGGGTATTTTTGAAACAAATTACCGAGCATAGATTTTTTTTTTTTTTTTTTTGAAATATTAAGGATATTTTTTTTAGACAAATACAAATTTTATGGATATTTTTATTAATTAATTTTTTTTTATGGGTACAAATTTTAATGTGTGTGACTATTATAATATTAAATATATTTTCAATGCTCTAATTAATTGGTTGGAGGATATAGTTTTTATTAAATATAATAAAAACAAATAAACATGCGACTATGTTCTGTCAAACCTTAAATTAATATGTCTTTGTCGGTAAAGTAATTTAAAATAATAATATTTTTACACAACCAAAATATGAACAATATTAATTATTCTTTTAGTTTTAAATTAATTGGTGGATAATGGAGAAAATTATTTTATTTTTCTCTTTTCCTTATTTCGAAGAACCCATATCGGAGGAAGATTTGGGGAGTTGTAAAAAATTATAATTTGAGGGATTAATTATATAATATTTACTAAATTAAGATTAGGCCAGTCACATGACATGTAACGGTCACCCTTTCCAAGATAAATGGGGTTTGGATGTGTAGTATTTTTCTATACACCCGACTCACACGTGCGAATGTGGTTCTACTAGGTGGGCTCGCACACCCTTGGGGCCTGCATAGTCGAACTAGTTTGTTGTAGCTAGACATCTAGAGGTATAACAAACTCTCGAATATCATGCAAGTATGATGATGATGATCATCATCATCATAGTGGACGTGTTCGTACTCATTATCATAAATGGAGAAGTAACTCGATGCAAATGAACATACAATATGTATGAGGTCCCTATAATTTTCATCTTAAATCATTCATATGACACAATCTCATACCTCCATTACATATTACTCTGGGTAATATAGATGCATAAACTCTCATACATTCATCATTTATAATATCATCTAGGGGTTGTGTATCAGAAAATTCTTTATCACACTGTAACATGACATCTCATACATGCACATCATCATGACACGAGATATCATCGTATTGTATTATACCATCATCATACATTTCTTGTCATTAGGGGTGTACATTCAACCCGACAACCCAGAGTAACCCAACCCGAACTATAAGCGTTGGGTTGGATTGGATTAGCATTTCGAGTAGGGTTGGATTCATTTTTCTGAACCCGAACTGAATCGGTTCGATTTCGAGTAGGGTTGGGTTCATTTTTTTGAACCTGAACTAAATCGGTTCGGTTTCGAGTTCGTGGGCAAAACATTTGGGTTGACCCGAGACAAATAAAAATATATAGAATATATTAAGAATTCTTTTGTATTAATGGGTTTGCTAAGGCCAGACTAAGAACATGTATGCCGATATCGGCAAATATATGTTTGTTTTTATTATTTTGTTATTTTTCTAACAATTTAGGACCCTCTAAGGTCACGTATCAATAAACATATTTCAATTAAATTATTTTTTCGGTATTTAATTGTCTTCAGTTTTATGACAATGTTAAACTATGTTAATACGTTACAATTTTCGCTCGATGATTTTTATTGTTTTTTTTTTTTTTTTTTTTAATAATTATAGATTGATTTGTGTTTGTCCTAAACTTTTAATATATTTTATCTAAGATTGTATCCGTATAATTTTTTTAAAAAAATTGACAACCCAACCTAAACCTAACTCGAAAATTTTCATAACCCAACCCAACCCAACCCAACCCAGACCATTTAGACCCCTACTTGTCATCATATTATAATGTATCATCATCCCAACATATCATAGCATCATAGTACATCATATCATCATAACATCATAGTATCATTCTAACGCATCATAATACCATATCAAATTACAACATCATAACACATCATAATATCACATGAACATACATGATACGTGGAAGGGCCATTGGACACGTGTTATTATACATAAGACAAGTCTTCTGACTAAGTCGATAGTAGGGTCACTTACTTGATTAGCCTTAGCCGACGTTCTATTTTATTTTCGAGATTGGTTTGATTCATTCCTCAAAGTTCATATCAACCTAGGTGGAGGTACTTCACTATCTTATAATTATCCATTTAATTCTTTTAACAAACCACCTAAATTGAATAGTCGAAACTTATAGTGACCTTAATTGCCTTAAATAAGGTCAAAATCAGCTTTGAGAGGGTCCAGGGCATAGGGAACGACGTCCAAATTCGAGTCCTGGGCTGAATACGCCAATTTTGAGTCGTGGAGTCCTTGAGTCGCGCCGAAGTCGAGCCAAATCAAACGAGTCGAGTAGTCAACACGTGTCACACACGTAATAAGGGCTAGAGCGCGCACGGGTTGTTGAGTGGGGTTGTGTCGAGCTCTCGAGTTTGCACGGGTCATGACTTGGGCTTCGTATGTCTGGGCCATTTTCTGTCTTCGTGGTTGGGTCGAGCTTCGTGTGTGTGTGTATATATATATATATATATATGTTCTTTAGGTATGTACAAATTAACTATTGAATAACTCTACTTATCCAATTTTTAAAGTTAACAAACCCTAATTATCTTGGAAATAGTGACAATTACATTGTCACGTGGTTAGCATAATCATAATTTAATTAAAATTATATAATTAATCCCTCGAATTATAATTTTTTACAACTCCCCAAAGTTTTTCGAAATAGGAAAAGAGAGAAAATAAAAAAGTAATTTATTTAAAAATATTGTTATTTAAAATTAATTGTACAGACAAGAAATATTATATTTAAGGTTCGACAGAACATAGTCCCATGTTTATTTGTTTTTTTTTTTTTTTTTTTTTTTTTTATTGTTATATTTAATAAAAACTAAATCCTTCGACCAAATATTTAATATTTAATTTCATAACTCTTTTATAAAATTTTAAAACCACCCATACTATTTTCCTTACTTATAATTACTATATTCTTTAAAAAAAAAATCATACTATCAACAAAATCTGTCTACCGATACTTTATAAATTATCTGCAAACGTTTTAATGTTATTTGTTCAAGAATATTTTTTAAACAAAGTATTATGGATCTTCATCCGATAAGGATATTTTTGAACTTTTTTGAAAATTGAAGGACATTATTGCAACTTTTGAAAGTTTATGGGAATTTTTTACACAAACTGCAACAACGTTCGAGGGTATTTTTATTAATTTAGCTTTAAAATATCCCTAAACTTTGTACTTTTCTCGAAAATACCCTTGAACTTTTGAAAGTTTAATAGTATTTTTTAGACTTTTTTGAAAGTTGAAGGGCATTATTGAAATTTTTGAAAGTTTATGGGAATTTTTTAGACAAACTGCAACAACGTCGAGAGTATTTTTATTAATTTAGCTTAAAAATATCTCTAAACTTTGTACTTTTCTCAAAAATACCCTTGAACTTTAGACAGTTAAGGATATTTTTCAGACTTTTCTTAAAGTTGAAGGGCATTATTGAAACTTTGAAAGTTTATGGAAATTTTTTAGACAAACGGCAACTTTCATTGTTGCAGACAAACTATAATAATAATAATAAATAAATAAATAAATAAATAAAGATATCCACAAATAAATGAACCAAAATCATTGTCTGGATTATAGTCGACAGAATTCAAGGATGCAAATGTCTGAATCATAGAGAAAACAAGTAACAGACAACTAATTAAAACAAACCACCAATACCAAATGTTTTACATATACCAGAGGTATATGTCGAATAAGGTGAAGTTTATATCAAATCTAAAGGAAAGAGTCTGACTTAAGTTATTGTTGCATAGAACGGTAAAAGATAGTGATTCGTATGAATCATTTGAGTTTGGATACTCACTTTGTCAAATGCCGTTGATCGTGTTGGGTGTGAGTACTTGCATAGTTGTGGCTGCAGCTGGGTCATATGAAGCAGGAGCTTCATCGGTAAGCAATGACGGCAAACCTGTGATTCAAATCATATTAGTTTTAACAAGCATTTAACAACGATCCTATACTTTAAAAATGTTTAATATGTTGAACAACCGTACCATCAGCAAGCCCGTATCCAAAGTTTTCTGAAAAGTAGTTTCCCGGGCTCTCATACCCATTATCCAAATTGTTTTGCCCAAAAATGTCAACGCTTTCGTTGAAAGCTTGATCTCCCATGACATTATTTGTTGAAAAATTTACCTGTTTTCATACAACATCGACTTAGTTTAAAGCTCACTTTTTCAATGTACAGATATAAAAGTTCAAAGAGAGTGTGTAACCTCCAAAGATGGATCGGGATAACTCAAACACTCAAAAGCATTTTGAACCATCATTGTCCATGTTTTCTTTGGAACTTTGGTACCAAGCAGCTGCACAAATTGTTATTTTGTTGGTTTTGATTCTTTCTCGAAACACACCAAAATAAATTACCGAAATAGAAAGAAATAAGAAGAGGGTTTTATTTTGATTTTGTTGGTTTACCTTTTTCAGAGCGGCCCAACCTATTTCGTCGTATTTCAGCACGAAGTCGCCCACAGTATTGATGCCATGTAGTGATAAGTTTTTGTGATATGCCCCATCTTTTCCTATCCCTTCCAGTCGCCAAACTTCATCTTCTCTGCTCGGAGGATGATGCTTCTTGTTCACTGAAATCATGTAAAGAAGAAGAATCATCCCTTCAACGGTGTAAAACTGTTAACAAGATAATTTCAGTAATAAGATAGAGCTTACCTTCTCCACGATGATCCATGACCCTGAAAGGTTGGGACACCGCAGCCCCAATGGTCGGATACATGGCAAGAATGTTTTCATCAATAATCATCACTCCCAAACGAAACTTCTTGGATTTCATCCAACTCGAGTTGTCTGTGATACAGACACACTTAATCGAAGCAAAGCCATTCTCCAAAATGAGTTTGATACCATCACCAACCAGTAAAGGCCTTTTCCCTTCTCTCGGGGATAAAATGTTTCGCTTCAATTCACTCAAACTACGATTAGTTTCATCATAGTCTCCATCGAGAAGGACGAGCACAATCCGGGCCGATGACAGAGGACCCGTGCGGACTATGGCATTGGTTGTGGCATCATAAATTGCAACCCACACAGCCTCACCATTTTCTGCTTGGATTTCACTGTTGGTGAAGATAGTGGAGGCTGGTTGGTTGTAGAAAACTAGCTTGAACTTCTCAATCCCTCCTCCAATAATTGCTACTTCTCCAGCCTCTCTCCTTCCTCTATATGATGAAACCAAATCATAGTTTAAAGTACAACGTTAATTCAAATAATATAGTTCTTAATAATACGAATATGTAACATTATGTTCTGTTCGACTAAATTGTGAGTCAAGAAGCTCGACTTGTTCATACCCGAACATTAAACATCACGGAATGTGATAGTCATGCATTAAGAAATCAGTAATACGAATATGTAACATTATGTCATATGCTTCAAATAGTAAATAAGTTGTGAGTCAAGAAGCTCGACTTGTTCAAACTCGAACATCAAACAGCACGGAATGTGACAGTTAGTCATGCATTAAGAAATCAGTAATACAAATATGTAACATTATGTCGTGTGCTTCAAATAGTAATTAAATTGTGAATCAAGAAGCTCGACTTGTTTAAACCCGAACATTAAACATCACGGAATGTCTCGTCAGTCATGCATTAAGAAGTTAGTAATCGTGGAACATTTATAGAAAAAGAGTTAGTACGTTTTACCACAACTACCTTAATACAAAGAAACTGTCTCCTCAAGTTACCGTGTTATTTATTTCATTTCTTTCTGGTTCGATTGTGTCAGGGTGCTTTGAACGAAGATCAAAACCAACATAAATTGTTATAAATATTGTTACAAATTTGAAAATAAAATAACTAAGGGGTTTGAGATAACTATTCTTTTTTTTTCTTTTTAATTAGTTAACAAATCAAGTGTTTTATTCGATCTAACATAAAAAGACGGTAAAGAAATGATGAGAAAACAAATACAATTATTGTACACAGAAAACTAAAAACAAAATTCTTATGAAATTATATCTAAACGTCACCGACTATATTGTTAATTTCACAAAACGAGAATAGAAGTTGAAAAACGAACCTCAGTAATTCCAAATGAGTTTGAAGTGCATTCTCCACTTCCTTGTGTATCTTAAAAACACCGAACCAATGTCAGAAATGAGTTTGATATTCAAATTTGGATGTCATAAAAATAAAAAAAATAAAATAAAATAAAATACCCAGTTGGTCAAGTGAGGTTGAAATCGAGACAAAAATTCAACCATGGAAAGTTCACCTTCAGCTACAGATCCAGCTCCAATACTATTTAACAAAAAAAGAATCCAACAACAACATCACAACCTACAAAAACCTAGAAAATTCAAAAAAAAAAAAAAAAAAAAAAACACAAATNACCCAGAAAAACATGGAAAAAAAAAAAAAACCACAAATCTTAAAAAAACCAGAACAGAAAACTCATAAAAATCCGAAATGTTACACGAATACGACTCTCCACAATGGTATCATATTGTCCACTTTGAGCATAAGCTCTCAAACCTTTGCTTTAGGTTTCCCCAAAAGGCCATCTACCAATGAAGAGAGTATTCTTTGATTATATCTCCCCTCGAACAAAGTGCGCCTCTGCTTAATCGAGGCTCGACTCCTTTGGAGTCTTAGTCATTTTCGACTGCCATCGAGGAGGCTTGACTCCTTTTTCTTTTGGAGTCCTTTGTTCGATGTTTGAGGATTTACCAATCTACTGGCACGACTAAGTTTAGGGCATGACTCTGATACCATGTTAGACGAACACGACTCTCCACAATGGTATGATATTGTTCACTTTCAGCATAAGCTCTCATGGCTTTCCTTTAGGCTTCCCCAGAAAGCCTCTACCAATGGAGAGAGTATTCTTTGATTATAAAACCATAATCATTCCCTAAATTAGCTGATGTAGGACTTTTATCGTCCAACAAGAAAAACCAGAAAACCATAAAATCCAAAAAAAAAAAAAAAACAGAAAACCTATAAAACTCGGAAAACCTAGAAAACCCAGAAAACCTAAGAAAAAACCTAGAAAACCCAGAAAACCTTAAAAAAAACCAGAAAAACCCAGAAAACCTTAAAAAAAAAAAAAAAAAAAAAAAAANACCCTTAAAAAAACAACCAGAAAAACCTAGAAAAACCAGAAACCCTAAAAAAAACCCAGAAAAAACAGAATAAATAAAAAAAAAAATTGAAAGAGAGAGAGAGAGAGAGCGAACCCAGATGGAGAAGAAGGGCCAGATGAAGAAGAAGGGCGAGTCCTCTTGGGGTTAGGGCTATCATCCTCGCTGGGAGGCATCTTGGCCTTGCCTTTGACATCCATTTTGATATCTATGCCTCTCCAAACTGATACTCACTCCCTGAAATTTGGAGGAGTGATGTGGTGAAAGAAGGAGAGAGAGGTAGAGAGGGGGATTTATGAACCCAACATCTTCCATAACTCAGAGAGCTTTGTCTAGAGAGAGACAGAGAGAGAGAGAGAGCTTAGAAATTGTTGAGAAATTTTCAGACAACTTCCACACTAACAACAACGCGTCTGCTTTGGTCTTCTCTTATCGGCTACCTGCTAAGCATATGCCTCCCCATTCAAATTACTTTTTTTCAATTAAATTTATCAAAATTATTCTAATTTTTTTAATTTATTCAAAAATAATATCAAATAAACATAAGATTTTGAAAATAGCACCAACACTATTTAATTTTATACAAAAAAAAAAATCTTTCCGTTACTCTATTGACACTTCATAAACTATCTACAAACTTAAAACTGTTCTCTGAAATTTAATTTTACCCGAAGAGTTCACATTTTTAGTATGACAAAACTCTATACATCATTCACATAATACTCTAAGTAACATGTCTTCATACTTTCCTCGTCATTATCTTCATTTAGGGTTGTATCTAAAAAATACTCCACCATAATACACCATGACGTCTTGTATATGCACATCATCTTAATATGAAATACCATCATTTTAAGTCATATCATCATCATCATACATCTTATATCATCGTGGGTTAAATGTGTTTTTGATGTTTTTTTTTTAATTTATGGATATTAATGAAATTTTAAAAAACTCGAACATATTTTTGAAACACTTTTAAAAATTAAAGGGTATTTTTAAAAACAAATTATTAACTATTTTCTAAGAGTATTTTTTTTTTATTTTTTATACATTATTAAAACTTTTGAAAGTCTAAAGTAATTTTGAGCAGGAAAAGTTTACGCTTATTATTATTTTTTTTTTAATTTAGTCTTATTTTATGTTTGCTAGCCAAAATTTGATAATTAATAGTTAGTCCACCTAACCGAATAACACGTGACTTTTAATATATGGGAATTAGACTTTGTCAATATGTATTTTTTATTTCTTATACCGAGTGACAAATTATGAATATATTTTAAAATTTTATAGCCAATTAAAAATTAAATTCAAATCTTGATGTGAATGGCAAATATATATATATATATATATATATATATATATATATATATATATTTTGTAAATTAGATAATTGTATTTGGTATTGTATAAGGATGCTATTAAAATTTTATTACATTAATTAATTTTAGATAATTATTGTAGTTAATTAGTTTATTTTTATTAAGTTACATTAATAAATAGTATAATAATAATGAATTAATTATATATTTAAAATTTTGATGGTAAGAATTCAATATATTTTCAAGAATTTTTCTTTGTCTAAATAATTTGTAATTTCATATTTCCACTCCAACTTACCAATAAACAAATAAGATATAAATAATATAAAGGAAAGAATTCAATATGTTTTCAAAACTATTAGATCCTCCATTCCTACCTTATAATATTTATTTTAATTCCTTTCCACAATATTTATTTTTTTAACTTTATTTTGTTGGGTCCCACCTAAGACCTAATACCTAAGACATACTTTCTCCCCAAGTTTTGTATATCTACCTTAGAGGCGTTGGATATATACATACATATATATATATATATATATATATATATATATAGGAGTTAGCTATACTATGTAGAAATGTCTGTTGGATGGATCCTTGCAAGTTTTGTATATCTACCTCAAGTTTGGTAGCTCTTTTGTCTACTTTGTGCGATGCGCATCCTTGCTCTATTTTTCTATACCGTTTCGTTGGTGATGTAGACTAGCTCGAGTCTTACCAGTTCTCGTTCTCCTACATTGTCCCAGCACAATGGGGATCTATACTGTTTTCCATATAATGGTTCAAACGGTGCCATCCCAATTGTTGCTTGGAAACTGTTGTTGTATGAGAATTTCATTAAGTGTAGTGTAGTGTCCTAACTCCCGGTGAAATCCACAACACATGCCCGAAGCATATCTTCTAGGATTTGGTTTAACCGTTCCGTTTGACCATCAGTTTGTGGGTGGAAGGCAGTGTTAAAGTCGAGATGGGGACCCAATGCTTTTTGGAGTTCGCGCCAAAAAGCCGACGTAAAGCGCGGGTCTCGATCCGACACTATTGATATCGGGACTCCATGCAACCTCATAATTTCTTTTACATACAGTTGAGCTGACTTATCTACTGTATACATTGCTTTACCCGGTAGGAAGTGTGCCAAGTTTGTTAGTCGATCGACAATTACTCAAATTACCGTGTAACACTTTAGTATTTTGGGTAAGCCTACTATGAAATCCATAGCAATTTTTCCCATTTTCATTCCGGTATGCTTAGAGGTTGTAGGAGTTCGGTTGTTTTCTGCCTAGGGACTTTTACTTGTTGGCACACTAGACATTTACTCACGTATTCTACGATATCCTTTTTCATACTCTGCCACCAGAAGTGTTGTTTCAGGTTTTGGTACATCTTCGTACCACCTGGATGTATCGAGAAGGGTAAGTTGTGTGCTTCGGTTAGGATTTCGTTCTTTATTTCACTAACAGTTGGGACACATCAACGTCCTTGACATACTAGTTCGTCCTCTGTTGACTTAGAAAAACCTTCCACTGGACCTACTGTCAACTGGTCTAGGATTTTGTTTAGGCTAGGGTCCTCACGTTGTGAGTCTATGATTCTCTATCTGAGCGTGGGACGCACTGTAAGTCAGGCTATCTGGACTATAACCTCCTTGGTTACTACCGCTATGTCATCTTGTTCAAAGTCAGCTCGCACTCGTGGCTCCTTTGTGACGAGGGCTGAAGAGTGTATTGTTTTTTAACTTAGTGTGTCTGCGACTACGTTTTCTTTTCCAAGGTGGTACTGGATATCTATGTCGTATTCTTTTACCAACTCTAGCCATCTACGTTGTCTCAAATTCTTTTCGTGTGAAGAATTATTTTAGACTTTTATGATCCATGTAAATTTGGGTCTTTTCACCATACAGGTAATGTCGCTAAATTTTTAATGCGAACTCCACCACTACAAACTCCAAATCATGTGTAGGATAGTTTTTCTCGTATTCTTTTAATTGGCGTGATGTGTACGCAACAACCATGCCCTGTTGCATCAGTACGCAGCCTAGCCATTTTTGGATGCATCACTGTAACTCATGTATCCCATGGAGCTTTCTGGGACCGTGAGCACTGGCGCGGACACTAATATTTGTTTTAGATCCTGAAAGTTGGCCTCACAAGTATTGTCCATACGAAAGGTACGCCCTTTTTTGTCAAATGGGTGAGAGGCGAGGCTATTCTAGCGAAGTCTCGGACAAACCTTCAATAGTAACCTGCGAATCCCAAGAAACTTCGTACCTCGGTGACCATAGTTAGGCATTTCAAGTCGTAGCCAAAATTCGTATTTAGAGAATTTGGCATACAACTTGTTCTCCCTTAAGATAGTTAGGGCTTTTCGGAGGTGCTCTTGATGTTCTTGGTCCGTTTTCGAGTATATCAAGATGACGTCTATGAACACATCACAAACATGTCTAAGCACTCCTTGAATACTCTGTTCATTAATTTCATGAACATCGTTGGGACGTTGGTGAGCCAAAAGACATAACTACAAACTCGTAGTGGCCATATCTAGTTCAAAAGGCTATTTTCATTATATCTTTGTTTTTAATCTTAATTTGATTGTATCTTGATCGAAGGTCTATTTTGAAAAACACCGTTGCTTCTCGACGTGGCACAACCAGAGGGCGACACGTGTGCAGGCGGTTTCTGGTCGAGCGCGGGTTGTCGGGTACGGGCTTGGTTTCGGGTCGTGGTCCGGGTCGCAACTGTGGCACTTGGGCTGGCTTTTGTGTTATCGGGCTGGGCCGTTAGCGTCGGAATTGGACTAGCGCCTGTCCGTAGGTGGACTGGGCTTTGCGAGTTTGGGTTTGGTTTGCGACTAACAGGATAGGCCGAGCCGCGGTTTGGGTTGGGCTAAGGCACGGTTTGGGCCGTGGACGTTGGACTCGTTTGTGAGGGCTTCCGGTTCGAGCGCGGGTCGGATATTGGGTCAAGGCGTCTGGGCTACAGTGTTGGGTTGGTTTCGGTGGCTTAGCGGGTCGGTGGGCCGAGAGGGTTTGGGCTGCGACTAGGTTGGATTTCTGTTCGGGTCGCGGGTTGGGTTCGTCTTCTTCACCCGTTTCATATAGAAACTCCGGTGATTTCTCTCTCTCCTCGGTAACTTCGTTTCGACGTTCATTTTTCCCCGTTTCCTTTTGGTTTCGTGTCTTCTCTTCCCCTAATCCCGTTTATGGTGTTTGTTTGGTTCGTAAGGGCCTAAAACTCTCGGATCTAAGAGGGCTCGAAAATCTAACGTTCTGTCTTCCTTCCCTGATGGTGTACGACGTGTAAGCAACGTCGAAATCTATCCCTAGTGTGTGTAAAGGTCTTTGATATTATTTTTTTTGCACAAACTAGAGGTTTCGACGTAGATTTCGTAAGGTTTGGTTTCGCCCGAGCTTCGTCGATTTTCTCTCTGTCTTTCTCATTTTTCTCACTGTTTTTCCTTCTTGAAGGTGTCTTGGAGGTGGATGAAGGTCGAGTTTGATTTTCGTGGTGATCCCGACGTCGGACGTGCTTCGTGGATCGTGTGTGAACGGAAACTCCGGCGTTCGCCTGAGTTTTCAGTCTTGCCAACAACGGTAGGAGCTTTTTTTATTAATATTTTATTTTATCTGATCTGTTACAATATGTGTCCTATCACTCCCACGGTTATAGTCACGTGTCATTTTCTAACTGGTCCACCAGTGCCACGTTATCGCCCCCATGCTATTTTTCTTTCAATTTTTCTTCTTGTTGTTTTGATTGTGCCCTTAAAAGTAGATGCACGGTGGGCTCAATGGAAACCTATCCCCTCATTTAAAAAATATTATATTATATATACATATATATATATATATATTTGTCTTCTCCCCATGAATATTTCTATGCCACCAAAATATATAAAATGATCAAATGGGCACGAATCATGTTAAAAGCTTTTAATCGAATAAATTAATGAAGTTGGTTTTGAGTCAACAGGTGATCTAAAAAATACCGTCGAACAAGTCCGCAGGTAAAGAAGTTAAAGAGACGATTCAGTCCCAATTGAACCAACGTGCCATAAACACCCTTGAATGAC